TCAATAATTAATTAGGAATTAATTTTGTGATTAAGTGTAATTAATTAAACTAGAGGGGCTGAATTGTAATTATGTGATAGTTACAAAATAGGGCAATGGTTATCCTTGTAGAAGGTTGGACGAACTCAAGGGATTGGATATCCTTGAAATCGTCCATATGGTCCAAAAGATATGGGTTATCAAGGCTTATCTTATGATTGCTTGGTGGGTAAGTAACTAGATAAGGATAAGGACTGAAACCCTAATGTCAACCCTATATAAAGACCCCTAGGCCTTAAGAAATCACCCCACTTGCTTCTAAGAGATCCTTAGGATGATTTCTACCTCCTCCATTCTCTCTCTACAGCCTCTCCAATTGCTTGTGGTGTTTGTGAGTCATTAGAGGCACTACACTTGTGGTGCTTGCTTTCAAGACTTAGGGTTTGAAGATTTAATTTGTTATTGCAATATAACAACAAGAGGTATGTGATCTAACCTTATATATGAATTTCGAAAATAGTAATCTACTTTAGGGTTTTGTTAATGTGTTCATAATGTTGTGTATCCAATAGTGAAAACATAGATCCAAATCTAGGGTTGCATGCAAATATATGATTGTTTGTATAAAACCCATCATAAAGTCCATCCTGATGATGATCCTTAGGTTAGGTCCCTTATGATAGGTGTTTATGGAAGTAAAGTGAGCATAACGGGAACGGGTAATCAGGGTTATTGTTGGTTGATGAAATTAATAAATTTATTGTTGGTTGATGAAATTAATAAATTTATTATTTGTGGGTTGAAAACCCTATATGCTCAGCAGGCTCCCAAGCCTGACCCACTCAACTTTTTATAGTACATGTAGTGGAGCTAGAGCATAGTTGGATGATGAAGATGGATTTTTGGATTATAGGCCATTATATGTAAATATATGTTGTAAGGTCTATAATATATTGTTTATGCTTTTGGTATGTATCGATGTGGACATCCTGAGTTTTGTAATGAAATGAATTTTTTTTAAGAAATGCTTTGATAAAGTTTTATCCTATTTTGTTTTGGGACCAATTCCGCATATTTTTATCGGAGAGATTACTCTGATTTTATTTTAAAAGTATAATTAAAACGATATTTTCTGGCCAAGAAATTGGGGGATGTCACACTCACCGACTCGTCAAGTCGGCTTATCGACTCGACGAGTCCATTCAAACTCATTCCTCATTCAGTCGATTGAAAGTAGATCCACCACTCCAAACACTATATCTAGCGTCTCAAGACTCAATTTTCACATAAAGCTTCGATCTTTATGTTCATGCATGGTATTTTGCTCCAACATACCAATACATGCTCTCACAAGGTGTTAAGCACAATAACCCTCATATGGATGAATAAAGTTGGGACCTTTGGACTTTATGGACCTCATAAGGTCCAGATCTGAGGTCTAAATCCCATGATAACTCTATATGCTTGAAGTCCCAACAAAAGGTGGTAGTAACCTTAATCTTCTATAATAATGAGATATAGGTAAATAAATGATAAAGGTGCAAGCTTTTACCTCTGACTGAAGCCCTTGCATGAAGATACACTAGATCCAACCGATTCTCTTGCTTCCTTGTTGGATAATCTCCTCTTCTCATCAAAAGATGAACTAGGTTACTCCAAGTTTAGCTTCTAAGACTCTCTTAATTCACTACACATGTTTAGGGTTTTACACATGAAGGTTAGGCAGCTGGTGAGGCGGAAATGAGGGCATAAGTTCTCTTATATAGTCCCCAACCCCGGGAAGTTAGGGTTTCACTACACAGCACCAACTCAGAGAGTCAGCTCTCTGACTCGTCAAGTCCATTCATTATTCCTACACGGTCAACTTGACTCTACTCGATGAGTTGGACTCACAACTCGTCGAGTCTTTCAATAAATCTCAAAATTAAACACACAAATAATATACCTGGGAGTCCGAATGTTACAGTTGAGTCCTATGTTGTTGACCTGGACAAGAAGACTTGTACTTGTAGAATGTGGCAACTTAATGGATATATATGCGTGCATTTAGTTGCAACTATATCCTTTTTGAATAGAAATGTTGGTAGTTATGTGTATACAATGTTCTATGGTGGTAGTGTACAAGAACACTTATAAGTACCTAATTCATGGGATAAATGGTAGCAATATGTGGCCACCTACTGAATTCGTACCACCTCTTCCACCAATGAAGAGAAGAATTCCAGGTAGACCAAAAGTTAACAGAAAAAGAGATGCATCAGAAAATCTCCCAATACACACCGTGTCTAAGGCAAGGAAAAATACCATGCAGTATGTTTAAAAAAGTAGGGCATAACAAGGTTACATGTCCTAAAGCTGAACTACCTCAATTGCAAAAACCTCAAGTTGGTAGGAGGCCAAAACTAAATGTGAAAATAAGGAAAATAGGTGTCAATGAAAATGGTGAAGGAACGGGTGTCAATGAAATTAGTGAAGGAGCATAAGGTGTTAGTGTAGGAAGCAGTGGATCAAAATGAGTGCATGAAGGGTAAAATGGAGACAAAATAGTGGGTAAGTGTAAAAGAAAGAAATCAGAGAGAATCATCAAGATGAAACTTGCTAAGAGGGTGAAGGGAAAATATGTGAAAGTAGATATCAATGAAAACCTATTGGACCTTAATGATTAGGATCTGATTTCGTTTAACTTGTTATGTTTTAACTTGGTTGTGTTTGGTTAGACTTAGTTGTTATGTTTGGAATTGGGTTGTACTAGGTTGTTAAGTTTGGATTTGTATCGACTTTGTTTCTTTGAGAAACATATGTACTTGTTTATTTGTTTGGGCATGATTTGTACTACTTATGTTTTTTTGATAAGCTTAGTTTGTTTAAGAAAGATATGTACTTGTTTTCTTGATCGTGCATGGTGCATGTTACCCAAGGGAACATTGGGTTAATAGTTCTAGGAATCAATGTTAACTTGGTTAGGTTACAAGGGAACATGTGGTCATTGTAAGTGGTCTAATACTTTGTTTATGATCCTTGAATAAGATGTAGGATCCTTGTAAGGATTAAGACATTAAGTTTAATGTAATACAATAGCCAAATTAAAACAAAGTATATTACAAGTTAAACATACAAACCAAAACAAAGTACATTATAAGTTCTTCATAATTTAACTCAAATGACCTTCATTACAACTTATACATGATTAAACATAAAAATACCCAACCGCATATTACGTACAACTTCAACATAAAGACCTTAAATTTAAGCTTTTTGTTCGACCTAAACAACCCAGTTATGATCACATCTTCATTGTTGCACTGCATTTCATCAACCCAAGCTATAAAACCTGAACGAGCATCCTGATTCCAACTATTTGCTTGAATTAGTACATGTTAAAAAAAACTAGGGTTAACATCAGAAGTTGAACAAATAGTAAATTACTTTTTTGGGACATGCATAAAAGGGCATTCCTGGGTTATTGGTAGTACGTGATGTTCTTATTATAGCCTTAGCTTCACAGTGGGGAGTATTTGAAGAAGAAAACAACGTGCTAGAATGAAACAAGTATGTAAAGAAGAAACTTTTAAGTAATTGCTAGTACGTGTAAAAGACTAAATTACCCCCATTGTGCAAGGCACGTGGGGTTACTAATATCCCCACTTTTTCCTTCTTCCCATTTCTATTGCACTTTCAACAGAGTTTTTTTTATGAAAACTAACAAGTACATACAATCATATGCAATGAACAAAGAACATCACCTAAGCTAACAAAATGCATGTAACATCCACCTCTGTCACGTATCACAATATTGTCCGCTTTGGGCCACTCGGCACGAGGACTTCCCAGGGGGTCACCCATCCTGGTACTACTCCCGCCCGAGCACGCTTAAGTGCAGAGTTCTTATGGGATCTGCTGCCCTCACGGCTTTAAAACGCGTTGTGATAGGGAATGTATCCACACCCCTTATAAGGAATGCTTAGTTCTCCTTCCCAGCCGATGTGGGATCAGATCTAACCCACTTTCACCCCCCCCCCCCATTATAGGGTTCGACGTTCCCGTCGAACACATCGACCCGTGCCCTGGCTCTAACATCCCCCTATGGCACGTATCATAATATTGTCCGCTTTGGGCCACTCGGCACGAGGACTGCTTAACTGCAGAGTTCTTATGGGATCTGCTGCCCTAACGGTTTTAAAATGCGTTGTGTTAGGGAAGGTATCCACTTCCCTTATAAGAAATGCTTAGTTCTCCTTCCCAGCTGATGTGGGATCAGATCTAACCCACTTTCACCCCCCATTATAGTGTTCAAAGTCCTCATCGAACACATCGACCCATGCCCTGACTCAGATACCATTTATAACATCCCCCTCTAGAACGTATCACAATATTGTCCGTTTTGGGCCACTCGGCACGAGGACTTCCCAGGGGGTCACCCATCCTAGTACTACTCCCGCCCGAGCACGCTTAAGTGCATAGTTCTTATGGGATCTGTTGCCCTCACGACTTTAAAACGCGTTGTGTTAGGGAAGGTATCCACATCCCTAATAAGAAATGCTTAGTTCTCATTCCCAGCCGATGTGGGATCAGATTTAACCCCTCTAAGTGGGTTAGATCTGATCCCACATCGGCTGGGAAGAAGAATTAAGCATTTCTTATAAGGGATGTGGATACCTTCCCTAACACAACGCGTTTTAAAGTCGTGAGGGCAACAGATCCCATAAGAACTCTGCAGTTAAGCGTGCTCGGGCGGGAGTAGTGCTAGGATGGGTGACCCCTTGGGAAGTCCTCGTGCCGAGTGGCCCAAAGCGGACAATATTGTGATATGTGCCAGAGGGGGATGTTAAAATGCCTATTGTTTAGACAGGTCTTTCATTCGTCATTGTAGTTCACATAAAAAATGCCAGTCATTCAGACATAGTCATTCAGACAGGTCTTTTACATATATCACTAAAAAACAAATATAAAAATAAAAAACAGAAAATATGCATACTACTAAACTTCTTAACCACGAACCACCATTGTTTCATATCCACCCATCACCCAAGCTTAGGAACGAAATGGAGCACAACCACCAGCAACAAGAGAATCCCCACCATCATGCCACCTATGGCAACACCAACGACTTTAAACTTCTGATCATGGTCATCCAACTTGTGTTGGGGATTAACGTGGTCGATCATGCACACGATATAGTCCTGTCCGAGCTGCTCCTTTAACTGTTGCATTTCGTATTGGTTTTCTGAAATCTTCTGACCACATTCATAGAAGATTGAATGGAGCACATTGTAGTTGATATCTTTACCAGAATTTAAAGAGGCGGGTGAAGGTGGTGGAGCCGACATTATTGCTTTTTAAGGGGTTCTTCTTGATGGTTGTTTGGCCGAATATGGTAAACAAATTTCATGGTTGTTTTACTTCAAACCCCACATGCGTGTGTCCCCTTTAAATTTTAGACTATATGTGAAACTCAATCGACAATATAAGGGTTGGTAGGGTGTTGGTAGAAATTAAAGGCAATAATTATTTTTTGCATGTGTCTCATCGAGTCAACTCAGTATTAACTCAATAGGTTCACTCACCTGCTGACTTGGCAAGTGACGAGACAGTTTAACCTGCTAAAATGGGTAACATTTAAAATGCAAAAAATAGTCACGAGGGACCATTTAAACCATTATCCCTAGCTTTGTTAGGATACAGTGACAATAAACATTTTTAATACTATAAACCGACTAGAATATATGATATTATTCTAATTTTTTATGTTTTCTTAGAGTTGTTGGTTAGTGACAAATCCATAATTGAAACCTACGTGTGTTCAACCTAATTTACGAGATGAAATAAAGGTATCAAAAAATTTTAACTATCAAATCAGGTTTTAATGATACCAACTAAAACAAATATTTGATTAACTTAATATCATATATGAATATCAATAAAAAAAAGTACGATAAGTTCATTAACATTATGACAAAATCCCCTATCCTAATAAATAAGTAGAATAGTGTCACGTATCAGTCTCCCAGACCCCCAAAATATAGTTTTCCCGCTTCTTTTCTTCAGGTCCATTTACGTAAATGCCCTTCACTTCAAATAGAGGAAATTAATCCGGAAAAAACTGCAGTAAAAAAATGCAATCAAAATTTTAAAATGAATAAAATATTTGCAAATAATATACAAAAATCGGTTATTCAAATTTGAAATTCAAAATACCCAATTTATATGGAAGTTTTTTTATTGTGATTGGAAATTAAATAATTTCCCGTGATTAAATCCCAAAAAATCTGCATTCTTAAAATTATCTTTTCAAAATACTACTATTATCCATCTAATATATTCATTCTTTTCAGCATTCTTAAAATTATCGAGCTATCAGGTAAGTAAATCACAAAAAATCTGCTGGAAATAAATGCATACCCATATAAATGACTATAAGATCTACATGCTTTGGTATCCACGATTCTGCTTATGAGACTACTTTGCAAAAGTTAATTTTCTCATAATCTCGCTATATAATTGACTATTACATTCATTCATTGTTTTCCTACACCTATCTACATCCAATCTTAGATTAATCATTTCAGATCCATTTAACTCGATCATTTTCATTCAATCGTTGTTAATAAGGTTTAAGGTTAGTTTTCTTTAATATGTAATCTATCTGTATATACGACTTCTCTCTATCTCTTTTTATACCATCTTTTGGGGTTTCTTTACTCTCCATTCTCCTGCTTTTTCTCTTTATTAAATTGGATGCATATTGGATTTACTTTTACGTATGTCTATTTAACATATGCATGAAAGTACTGTAAGATGTATTCATCTTCCTCTTTCATCCATTGTTGTTTTAATCGATGTGTCTTTATATGTATCTTTTACGAATAATTTAAAGTATAATTTTGTAATAAACTAATCAATTGAACTATATATTCCCATTATCTATTATTAAACATGCTGATTAAAAAGAAACTAAAAGTTAAAAGCTAAAAAAACACAATATAACACAGATACCTCTATGTATGTGCCAATGGTAGTCTTATTAGAGCCACCATGCTCCTTCAAGTTGTTTATTGCCTCCATTATAAGATTGTCCAGCCTGTTAATGACACAAAAGGTAAAATGGTCATACACTATAACTATTGATAACATCATCTTCCTATAGACTAAATAACCATGATTCATAAGAGATATCCCTAATGTATAATAAACAGCACATTATATAATCAATCTGCCATTCTGGTAACACATATACCTCAATGTATGTGGGATATTTGTAGCTATTTGTCAGTTGATGTCAACATTAGTTCCATACAAAGGGTACAATCATCATTTACTGTCGTTCAGAAGGTTTATTCAATGTAACAAAGAAATAGTCTTTGTTCACACATCAATTTATCCATACAACAATTCATCATCATTTATCCATACAACAGTTAGTGTGAAAAAGAACAAAGAAATAGGGCCTAACCTTATCATAGATCTTTTTGAAGCACCAACTTGTGGAGAACCACTAGAGGACTGAAGAGGCCTCACATCACCCGAGTCTTCATCACTGGGTCAGCAGTTGTGAGTGAGAGAAGGTTGTCATCCTTAGGGACATGTTGCACTCTTTTCAGGGCTAACCTAGCCTTCTCCCTAGATCCCCATCCATTTTCCATTACACTCATGTTCCTCCATTTGTCCTGATCCAAGTCAATGAACCAACGATTAAAAGAAAATTTCAGATATGTAATAACCTCCAGCAGAAAATTCCATTTGAAAAGATGTAAACCTTAATATCCACATTCGAGCGCAGGTATAACACACTGCTAAACTTTGGATCTTTAAGAATTGTGCACCATTTTCTTGCTCCATGCTTAAGAACTCCAGCTTTTAGAGCTGCTTCTTCTTCAGATGTCCATTTTTGCTTAGGAGCACCCATAAAGCCAATCAAGACTAGCAAGTTCTACCTGCACAGCATATTCATCAATTCCGTACTACAATCTAAGCGTTATTTTTATAAAACACGTCAGGAGAATGATCAACTAATTGTATGTTCACCGAGCATATCGAACACATGGATTAGGCATCTGAAACTTAGGTCACCAAAGTGTAATTATGTATCAGATATGACTAAGATAACCAACAACTAAATACATCAAAAGACCTCCTGCACGATTACTACAAGTACAACGAAACTCTGCTAGCTAAGAAAATATAAAGGAACCCTAATTTCCTCAATTCTCATCGATACTTGTACAATTACATAGATTACAAGCTCAAATACCAATCAATTCGTGTATATGAACAGAAGACCGACCCACTTCCTACCTTCAATCATAATTCTTTTTCTCGGACCAACTGAGGACCGAAGACCTTTTCCCCTCTCTCTCTCTCTCTCTCTCTCTCTCTCTCTCTCTCTCTCGACGCCCACCTTCCCCCATCCTCATTCACATATTACTGTAAGAGCAGAAAAGAAGTAGGCTCGCTACTTCTTCACTTTTCTGCGAACCATTCGAACATCGGAGGTCCTCAACTTTTCAAACCTTCACCCACCAAGAATCGATAGCAGCTTCCTGCTTCTTTTCTTCTTTTTCCTTCGGTCCAGCGAAACCCCAGAGATCCTCCCCCTGCTTCTTTTCCTGATCGAAAACCATTAGATCCCTTTCTTCGATCGATTGTTTCTTTTTCTCAAATTGAAGAAAACGGAGACCTGACCCCTTTTCCCTAATTTCAATTTTTGGTCTAATCGACCAATTCAGCCACTCCACTTTATGAATTTGACCAAGACAGTCCCCTACGGAAATTATTGACAAATTAACCTCAAATCTCACTGATTCTTTTAAACCATTTCAGCCCCTCCTTTGTAATTAGATTACAAATTCATTTTTTACTTTGTTTTGTATGTTTTCTAACATATCAATTTTTACAACTTTAATTTTATGTCGTTTTACATGTGCTTTCACATGTAAATGCTTACTATTAGAATGATATTTCTTTTCTAAAATCTAATATTATGGTTAATGGAATATAAATAAGATTCTTACATAATTGTTATTTACCATTTACTGTGTAATTAAACACGTACAAATCACAAAGTTATTAAAATATGCATTATCATAATTCATAAGTTTTCTAATCTAATTGGTAGCCAACTTTTTTTGTAGCATATTTTATTCATTTTTAGCAAATCATACTTAATCCATCATATGACTTTATTTATTTATAATTACGTATTGTTTTTTTATGTTAATTTCATTACACACATTGGTAATGCATCAAGAATCATGCACAAAAAATAAGGGTTTTCAAAAATCTCCATTTCTAATTAAATACTTACCATTTAGTTTGTAATTAAATACTTACAAATCAAATAATTATTGAAAAATGCAATATTACAATTCATATGTTATAAAAATTAATTAAATATTATTTTATTAAATAATTAATTTTTAAATTCAATTAAAAATCAACACCCGTGGATTCCACGGGTTTTAACCTAGTAATTATATATGTTCAAATGTTAACGTGTTAAACTATTTCAAAACTTGATATTCATTCTTTAATATTGAAGCAATGATTTAACTCTTAGGTTTTTTTTTTTTTTTTTTTTTTTTTTTTTTTTCAATTTGTATTAAATTCAACAAAATTAAAATTCAACAACACAAAGTTTAATAAATAAATAAATTTATAATATATGTTAAATTAATTATTTAACAATAATTATTTATTTTTTAAATTAAATCAAAATTACCAAGTTTAACCAGTTTGATCAAGTTGAACCGATTTACTTCGAGTTGGGGCCAATTTGACGTAGCTTAACTACTTCCAATTTTTTGATCGGTTTCAGAAAATCACTTTGGTAAATACTTAATTCAAAGCACTAGGAAGAGTAGGCCAAATTTTGCGATATTATCATTGGTAGTGGCGGACACAGAAAGTTGTCACACCAGTGGTATAATTTTTTTTTCGTCCGAATATAATAACATAAAAAAAAGTTAAAAGTACTAGTACATCAAATCATTCCATTACATCTTAATACCCAAATTTGACATTTACAGGTACACATTTTTTGAAACCGATCCATTACATCTTCGATCTTCACTTTCATAAGTGCTTCTTTTTCAACATAAGAAATCATAGCATCGTTAAAAAAATCATCACCTAGTTTGTTATGCAAATCCGTCTTCAAAAATTTCATCGCTGAAAAACATCTTTCAACTGTTGCGGTTGCAACGGGTAAAACCAAAACCAACTTCAACAACCTATAAACCATAGGATAAGACCGATGTTTCCCCGTTTCCACTATCAAATGAGAAAGGTCGAAAATTCCTTGCAAACTAGTGAACCGTTCATCTTTATGCAAAGCGTGATAATATATATCAAGTTCACCATCAAGTTGCATCCTCTCCACATCATCAAAATCTTTTGTGTATAACTCACTCAACTTTAACAACTTTGTTTGTTAAATTTAGCAAATGAATCACAAGGACTCAAATCCCCCATGCATTCTAGTAATTGGGTGCTAAGTTCACTAAATCCGTCCCCGAATTCTATAATTTGCATATCCATGACGGTGTTGAAAATTTCAACTTCAAAATGAAATTGATTAGTAACTTTAGTCTTACAGCCTCTTGATGTGACATAATTTTCCGTCATCTCCACAATATTAACATCATGTTTTTGACAAAAAGAGAATACCATCGATAAAAGTTTAGCAAACACCGTGTCTCTTAAAGACTTCAATGTGTCCATTGTCCCTTTAACTAAAGAAGCCGCTTCTAAAATATCTTGATCCTTTTTTGAAGATACTTTGACAATACGTTTGTGAGGTGTAAAATTTCATACATCAAATGTAAGTAAAACACGAAATCTAGTGTCTTGAAATATTTTAAGATACCACTCCACGGTTGTCGACATACTTCAAAACTATGGCCATTTGTTCTTTTTTTGATACATCACTCGATTCATCAACCAATAAAGAAAACACATCTTTACCAATTTCTTTGCAAATATCTGAAACTATCTCTGTTAAAAAGCATTCAACAATTTACTTTTGAGTCCTCGGGCACGTCACTTGATTATTTTAAGGAGCATTTTCTAAGGTAACATTGTGAATGCCTTCATTATGGTCTCTCAAGAAAGATAATAACTCCAAGAAAAGCCCTCTATTAAGAGAGTCACTCGACTCATCATGACCCCGAAATGGTAAACCATTTTTCAATACAAATTTACAACACCAAATTGAAGCACCTAAACGAAGTTTATAATTACTCTCCTCAATCTTGGTTTGCTTGTTGAAGGCTGCACTAATAGATTGTTTTTCTTTCAATAAAAATTCACAATTTTCTTTTGCTTTGTGATGAAAACTATCAATACCACCCATATGATCTCTCAATGATGGTCTTTTATTCCAACTATCAAAACCTTGTGAAACAAATGCATCTCTCCCATATTGTTTTCCCACCATGTCTTCGCATACATAGCAAAATAAACAAAATGCTTTGTTCTCTTTTATGTTATATTCTAACCAATCAAAGTCAGCAAACCACTTAACAACAAAACGTCTTTCTTTTGAACCTATTTTCTTTGAAAGGAATATATGACCCCTTGGTTGACAAGGTCCTTGAAGTAAATATGTCTTCCTTATTTCATCTCTTTGATTTGGATGGTAAGTTGTAATCTTGGGTCTTACACCCGGGTCTTTTGGAAGATCTTTCAATTCAACATTTGTAATTTGAGTAGTTGTAGATTGTGGATTTACATTAGAAACCGAAGGGAATGATTGATTAGAAGGACATGGTCTTTTAGAGGATTCTTCAAAACTTAAATCATTGGAGTATGGTCTTTTGGAGGATTCTCCAACACTTGATTTATTGATGCTTGTTCTTCCAAAAAAAAGACCCAATTTTATCCTAACAATTCAATATCAAACAAATAAGCCATTAAAGACTCCAAGTAATTTCAAGATTAACAAATAACAACTACTAATTTCAAGTAAACAAGTAATTTCAAGGTTAACAACTACTAATTTCACCTATACAATAAGAAATTTCAACAAAAAAACAACTAATTTGACTAATTTCATAAATCTAAAATTATCAATACTTACTTGTTTCATTATATTTGTAGAATTGAAAGGATTGTCAAGCCAAGCCAAACAAAATCGAATGGTTGAACACTTGAATGGTTGAAATCGATTGAAAGAAGCAAGTCCCAATGCTTGATTTCTTCCTCTTCGTCAATAGCCTTCACTTCACGTCTTCACAGTGCCGTTTTTTTTCCTGTAATCGGGGACTAGGCCAACACTCCGATTTCTTTTCTTCAAAAAATGCCCATGGACACCTAATAGAGATTTGGGGTATTGGGCTAATACTATTGGGTTAAAAACTTAATAAGCAACTTGGGCTACAAACTCAAAATGCATTTGGGCTAATTCTAAATTGAGGTATTGGGCTAGTTTTCTTTATTTGTTGGACTAGCATTTTTTTATACTTTTATTTTTTGGGTCTCGAATTCTCGAAAGTATAGTGTCATCTGAACGAATTTGAAGCCGGTGCACCCAATAGATTTTTTTTTAACCCTAACGGATCGAAGCGGAGCAGTGGCCCGGGACCCCCCGGGCACCACACACATCCGCCACTGATCATTGGAACGAAAAAAAGCTCGAATTTCAACCGAAGTCGAAAAAACCCTTGTATCATAACCGAAATAAACGAAGGCAAAGACCATGAGACCTGTCATAAAAATGATCGAATCTTCCAAAACCAACCTAAGACGGACTATTTGTGCAATACCTAGAAACCCTTAGAATATATTTCAATACATATTACATTTTATTACCTTTGCCAAATCAAAAGATAAAAAGTAATCGTTATATTTTAATAACGAGTTAATGTCGTAAAATGATTGTAGTAATACTCAAATCATATACAGTATGCTCTTTTAATCATATATCTTCTTGTTGTGTTCAATACATAAACTAACTTATTTTTCGGTTTTCATTACACAATTGAAGAGATTTCAACTTGGATAATTATGCCAAGTTAGATGTCATATAAATTATACCATTTTAAATGCCACACAAAGTCACAAAATATCAAACAGACGTTGAAGTCCACCCAAATATGTTTTTCCTTCGGCGAGAAAACTTATAAAAACAAACTAGTGAGACGTTAAAAAAGTCACATATTACAAGCCAAATCCAAAGAAAAACAGCAAACCAGGCAATCTACACTAGGCCATTTAATCTTATTCCTAACCCAATTAAATACTAATACTTGGGTCTCATCCATAATCTTTTGTGGGGAATATTTCAAGTTTCTAAAAGTAGCCGTATTTTACTATTTTTGCTTTCCAAACAAATCATAAGGCATTTTGCTTCGTAAAATCAACTCCACAAGTTGACATGTAGTCGTTTTTTTACAGACAACAAACACATTATGACTTTGTGGCCAAACCTATATTTGTAAGGGAAAATTAAATTTGCTTATGCTTTTAGTATTGTAATATTGTCACATCGGCTTCTTGAAACAAAATGGGTGATCACATGGGCCCAATATCAGTTTGGGGTTTTGGGCTTTCTTGAACACCGGCCTTGAATATATTTGAAACCAAATTACACTTAGCTAATAGTTACCATTGACAAATCAAAATC